GGGGGGGGGGGGTGTCACACAGTCTCATAACTGGGTCTAACTTTCTATCCCCTGTTACAATGAACCTTGCCCACCTCAACCATCGCCATCTAAACAAAGAATGGCTTTGAGATCTTAAACTGATGGGTTTTCTGGGAAAAAGAAATAGTCAAAAAAGAACCACTTAAGAGTTTTTGTTTGTTTTTTCGTTTATGGGGGATGCAGTAATTTGTGAACTGTAAATCAATTGCATGTTCAGCAACAATTCCAAGATTTAAGAATTTCATCAAGAAAAGCACTGCATCAGCACATGTACAATGCAAAAGTATAACAACCGTATACCGTTATATATTGGTGGCCTATAATCTGACAACTGGAAATCTCCGTTATGTGGTGAAATCCGTGTCGGATTTCAAAGCAGGATTACGGTAAACCGTTTTAGGACTAAATGAAATCATCAATACATTGATTCAATCATCTGAGGATAGAATAATAGTTGTCCGCGCACATTTACAACAAATGATGTACAGGAAGGGTCATTTTTCGAGCACAGCCCACCCCAACTACAATTCCAAAATCTGACAAAAAAAAATATCAGTCAGGAAAATTGTGAAGTTTTCCCTGATTCCGGGTTTAATGGACTTCCGACTCGCAGCAGGATTTGCGCCAGAATACAAAGGTCACTTTTAAAGGGCATGTGAATAACAAAGCGGAGAGCAGCCACCTCTGGACTCACCGGCCACACCCCACTTATTCCTCGAACGCGGCCTGTTTACGACTCTGGTCCAGGAGTCGTGGAGTTCGGGAGCAAAGACCGCAGCTGCCAGTGGGAGGGAGTGCGGGCCTCATCGCTCCACACAGGAGAGACCAGTCTGCTGCACCATCACGTTATATCTGCCACCAAACCAAGCTTCTGACTTGTAAAGAAGCAAATAAAAAAATAAAGCAGACTGAAATGTCAGCGAGTTGATAATTGGTTTGGAATGCTCGGAAATCAGGATTGAGAGGACAAAATAATATCATTACGTTAAGGTGGTTTTGCTGCAGCATGAGATGTTGTTTACATGCAGCTTTCTGCCGCCCTGAAACCGGCACGGGCGAGCCAGACGCGCGCGAGCGACTCACGGCTCGGCGACCTTTCACCCACTTTTCAGACTGGAGGTTCACCGGGTTTATTCCGACACTGCTGACTCCCCCCGGTACGCCCTCCAACAGCCACGCACCCCGTTTCCTCCAATCAGCCGGCGGCCATGCTCCGATCACGCGCCCTCTTCGCTCCGATTGGACGGCGCCGGATACACATTAATTTTTGATTGGCGACGGGTTGCCACCCTCCGGTCCGCTCTGACTTTTTTGTTTTCTTTTTTTTTTTGTCTCGCACAGCTGAGGCGCGCGCTGACTGCGGATCCTAAATCCCGTGTTTAATGCGCGCCGAGTGGACGCGTCGCAGCTCGCTCCTCTTTGTCCTATTGTTTCCCGACTTCGCCAGGCGAGACCAAAACAGTCCCGATGCTCACTTTTGCCAGCGGGCGGAATTCAGAAATGGAAGAATCGAGTCGGGTAAGGGTATTTAAAACTTTCTTTTTTGGGGGAGGTGGGGGAGGACACTTTCACGATGGATGTGTTGCGGTGCATGTCTGACTGTGCGCCTTTAGCAATTCTGCATAGTAGGTGGTGAAGATAACATGCATCCAAATGTAATGACGGGACCCGAGGGGCTGCGTAACGGTTCAGAGCCCCGCATCGCCTGCTGTCTCGTTCGTCATAGACACAGAGACGCTGCATCAGATAAGCACAGCCCGATGGGATGTAACGGGACTGGCAGCATCATGCTCCATGTCAGATCGGCGTCCAGTGCAAATACACGCGCGTTACCTAGGGCTGTTTGCCGGATAACAGGTGGGATAGCTGTCTGCATATGTGCGTCTTGTGGCGGACCGTCGGCGGTCAGCAGGCGTGAACGTTAAAAATAGCCCGCCAGCCGGTTAGATAGGAGTGACGCTCAAGCCGATCCACCCGGTGCCTCGTCAAACCGCCAATGTAGGTTACATATGGAGTGTTTCTATCTATGGTGTACGCCGATCTAAGTGTTAGCGGTGATACAGATCCGCCGCCGTTGTTGTTGTCCTCGTCCACACAAAAGCGGCGTGCGCTCGCCTTTGAAACGGCGCACGACCTCATAGTTTTGGGGAGTGGCCAGGAGAGCCCGGCCCCGGCGCTTCCTCCCTATGCGTGCCCGAGGCAAGGACGTCATCTCGTGGGCTGTGCTCGCGGATGGGAGGATCCCTGGGCGCGAGCTGGCGGATCTCCTAGACCTGGACGTTGCCAAAAAACACACGGCGCCGCATCCCCCTTCTTCACCGAGCTCCCGTTTTATGCTCTTCCTTTAAGGGGATGTTCGTTTGAAAAGCAAGATGTTAATCGGTTTTAGGTTACTGCGCTCCTGGAAACGCAGCGAGAAATATTTCAGATTTTTTTTTCCCTTTACTCACAGTGCTATAACTTGTTATAATGTAATTATGAGTGCAGTCATTGCCGGTATTATCTATCTGGCTATTGATCGGCCCTGAAGGCACACAGTCAGGTTATGCCCTAGATTAGATAATCCCTGTGTTTAATGCTGCAATTGGCGCCGTTCAGGGACACGTGATGGATCCCTGTGAGTCTCCAGCCAAACGGAAGAGGTGTGACAGCGAGCAGTCCTCCTGCAGCGTGCTGGAGTACAACGACCTGGAGGCCGCCGAGGCCTTAGTCTTCATGAGTGCCTGGCGGCAGAGGTCCCACCGGCCGGACCCTTGCAAGGCCCGACCCCTGACGCCGGCCTCCGACTCCTGCGACTCCCTCCCCCACGGCGAGCCCACAGAGATCCCCAAGGACTTCGTCTCACTCTCATCACTGGTAAGAGGGGCTCCGGGAGTATAAGCACCCCGTCAGATAAACAATCCTAACTGTTTGGTCAGCAAACAATCTGAAATTCAGTCTGTAAACCCCAGCTGCATGGAGCCAAGCAATCATTTACTTTTTTTTATAACTTGATATGTTTTCTGTTATCATTTAGAGGTTTTATGGTGACCTTGAACAGATGGGAGCAGATAGTGGGTCATGCTTTATGACCCTGACTCTTGATCTGTGTGGCATCACAACGCCCTTGCGGGTTTCAGCGTTGCCCGGTGATTTGCTGTGATTATGATGTCATCACCCTAGCCACAGGTGGTGATGTAAACGTTAAGAGAAACCAAATTAGATACAGTGTAAATAAAGACCCTTTACAGAGTGCTTAGCAACATAGCTCCTGATATGGCGATATCGGTTTAGGGGGTTTCAGTCAGTCACTTTCCTTTTAGTGTGCATGTTGGTGCAGAGCTTGATGGTGTTTTGCACGCTCGTTTCAGTGCATGACACCACCGCACAGCCCCAGCTTTGCCGAGAGCCTGGCCACCAGCACACTGACCACCGCATCACCACCAGGTGGCGCTTGCCTGGCCCAGTCCTGCCACCCCAGGAACTCTCACCCCAGTACGACCAGCCAATCAGAGCCCACCGCCACACCCCCCTGCAGGGCCATGGCCACCAGCGTCATACGGCACACGGCCGACAGCCTCCCGCACCAGCCTGTTCTGGCCCCGGGGAAGCTGGACCAGGCCAAGATGGCCGCCCCTCACAAAGCAGAGGACCTAAACGTGCCCAAAAGTTCGGCCGGCCCTCCCACGGAGTCGGGCTTCTCGAGCACCAGAGGCGAGGCACCCACCCTCCTGCCCCCAGCCCCCATCTCCAGCTCCCCTATCATTTGCCAGATGCTGCCAGTAAACACTCAGCCTGGAATGATCTCTGCCATCATCCAAGCCCCTGTCCGGAGCTCCGCCCACACGGTGAAGCCCATCCTGCCCCAGACAGCTGCATTCCCGCAGCCCATCCTTGTGACGCCCCCGGTGACCCAGGGCACGGTGATGTTTGTGGTGCCTCAGTCCCCCGTGCCTCAGCATTGTCCGCAGACCGTCGTGACCCTGGGTAACACCAAGCTGCTGCCCCTGGCCCCCGCCCCGCTCTATGTGCCTTCTGGTCAGAGTGGCGTTATCAACATGGACTTCTCCCGTCGCCGGAATTACGTCTGCAACTTCCCGGGCTGCCGGAAGACCTACTTCAAGAGCTCGCATCTGAAGGCGCACCTCAGAACTCACACAGGTACAGATGTTCGGCCTTCAGGCCGGGATGTTTGAGAACATTTAGGGGATTAGATCCCACAACTAAGACAGACGTCTATAAGGAAAGATCTGATTAGCTTGTGCAACACTTTTAGTCCCAATAAAGCTGTAACCGTTTAACTAGTTTCTTAATTGCTTTGATTTTTGCAATTCCACTGCCCTGTGCAGGATTCGAACCCGCGCCCTTATGGTTGCAATTCCCCCTCTCTTCATTTCAGGTGAGAAACCCTTCAGCTGCAACTGGGATGACTGCGACAAGAAGTTTGCACGCTCCGACGAGCTCTCCCGCCACAGGCGCACGCACACGGGAGAGAAGAAGTTTGCATGCCCAGTGTGTGACCGTCGCTTCATGCGCAGTGACCACCTGACCAAGCACGCCCGCCGACACATGACCGCCAGAAAGATCCCCACCTGGCAGGCTGAGGTCCGCCACCTCAATAGATTGGCCATGGCCAAGGCTTCTCCCACTACAGCTGGCCCCGCCCTCCCTATAGGGGCTCCTCCCTCCCTATAGGGGCTCCTCCCACTCCAGCTGGCTCTGCCCTCCCTATAGGGGCTCCTCCCACTCCAGCTGGCTCCTCCCTCCCTATAGGGGCTCCTCCCACTCCAGCTGGCTCCGCCCTCCCTATAGGGGCTCCTCCCACTCCAGTTGGCTCTGCCCTCCCTATAGGGGCTCCTCCCACTCCAGCTGGCTCCACCCTCCCTATAGGGGCT